TGTGGGTGTGGAGGCGCTGCCGGTCCACACAGGGACGGGGAAGGGGGTGTCAGTGCTGGCCCGAGTACGCCAGCAGCCACGGGCAGCGGCATGAGCGGGCAGGACATGAGGGAAGATCATGACGGGAGAGCAAGGGCAGCCATGGGGTGTGGGGAGCGTTCCTGAGGGGTAATCATGAGGGGAGATGAGAGGTGGCCATGAGGGGTAGCGGTGGCAGCTATAGGGCGTGTGCCACTATGGGTGGGAGACGAGGGGTGGCTGTGAGTGGAGATGGTGAGGGGCAGCCATGAGGGGAGATCTTGAGGGAAGATCAGTTTGCGCTTAGTTTAGTGGTGGGCTTGTCAGTGCAGGGTAATGGTTGGACTGGATGCTACAGTTCTGTACCAGCGCAGTTGATTCTGTGATTCTGTGACATTTACTTTACGGTCTGTTGCCTGCAATGGAGGGAATGGGCCGTGCCCCTCCTGGAGACACTCTTGTTCCCTCTCCTCTCCTGCAGGCAGCAGAGGCCGACGGAGCAGCCTTCAGACTGGCCATGCAGAGATACTCAGAGCAGGCCGGCAGCAAGGAGCTGCTGCAGGACATGGTAGGTGTGGAGGGGCTCCTGGTCCATGGGCTCTGGGGCTGCAGAGCCTGAGCCCGTGCTCTCCTTTCCCCACGCAGGACGGGACTCATGAGGATCTCTCTGATGCTGTGCAGGAGGTCCGCAGCCAGGTTGGTGTCCTCTCCCCTAGCCATGTCCTAGAGCTGTGCCGGCTGGGGCTGAGCGGTGTGCCGGGTCCTCGGGGGTAGTCTTGTCCAGCGCCCCCCCCTGCTGAAGGAGGGTTCTCTGGCACGTGTTGCCCACTGGCTGCGGGCAAAAGGGTGACTGGGGAGGAGGACACATTGCCCAGGAGATGAGGCATCCATCACTTAATTCCCTGTGCGTGGCCTGGAGTCACCCGCGCTTCTCAGTGCCCTGTGGCGGTGGGGTAGTGAATGAGGGCTGGAGGGGGCTGAGAGTGCCCGACGCTGCCCTTGTTTTGCAGGAGGAAAAACACCTTGCCTGCATGGGGGCCTGGCTGCGGGAGGAGCAGCAGAAGGACAAGGTAGTGCCAGAAGGGCCAGGGCAAAACAGGCCCTTGGGGAGTGTGAGGTTGGAGGAGGCCCCAGCAGGTTCAGAGACTCCAAGCCTTGTTTCTCCCAGATTCTGGATCAGCAAATTGAGAAGCTGGAAGAGGCCGTGGCGCAGAAAGAGGAGAGGGACTTGCTGGCCAGGAGACGTGGTTTCTGCTACTGGCTGCAGTGAGTTTCCCCTCGGGGGTGCCCTGTACCCCGCTCCAGGCAGTGGCAGGGATGTGCTGTACGCCTGCTCCATCTGGCCAGGCTCAAGTTCAGGCTGATGCTGTGTGCTGCTGCCCGGCTCTGGGCTCTAGCTGAGCATTGGCCAGGGTCAGTTTTCCTTGAGCCTGGGTGTTTCCTGGGATTGAGGAGTCTCAGGTCTCACTCTGCTTAAGGGTGCGATGAGAAATGGCTGGGGGCAGCCCATGGCCCCCTCAAGTCCAGAGGAGACCTAGGGTTGGCATCATCCACCCTGCCCTGTCTCCCATGGCTCTTCTTCTTCACAGGATGCTCTCCCTGCTCTTGGTCAGCCTGGAGCTGGCCGTTGGCATCTGTGTGGCTGCTGCACTTGTCTGCACCTTGCGCCTTGACCTTGAGTTCTTCTGCTGCGTGCTCTCGTGTGGACTTCCTGAGCAGATCTACAGCAACCTCGTGTATGCACTGGGATGGATTTTCCCTGCGGTCACTGAGGGGCTGCTGCCCTGTTGACATCCCTTTCCCCCCCGCCAATAAAGCCCAGGGACTGTGACATGCAAACCAGCTCCTCTCAGCTTGGGGGTGCTATGAACAGGGTGGTCTGCAGCGGCTGCTGTGTTCTGGTCTCACCTCAGGACTCCAAACACCCGTGGGGCAGGCGCTGTCCCCAACGTGTCCCTGGATGGGGGCCTGGAGCTTGTGCCCCTGCACACCGGTGCACGTGGTAGAGGGGCCATTGTAGTCCTCTTTGGGCACCTTTGGGCTTCAGCGTTACTCATTGGGAGGGTGTAGGAAACAGCTACCATTGGGCTCCACCGAACTGAGCGTAGGCAGCTGTGATGTCCCAAGAGGCCTCAAAGACACCAACCATTGAGTCGCTGTCTCGTGCGACGAGGCAGCACAAGGTGGCTGTGGGAGAGCAGCCGCTGGCCTTGGAGCACTCTGGGCAGGGCAGTGGGCCTGCAGGGACACTCAGAACATCAACCCCGTCTCCAGGTCCTCTGCGGCCAGCGGCTGGCCGGGCTATGAATGGCCAGGGTGGCCAGCAGCCACACTGTCCAACACATCAGGTCCAGCAGCTGCAGCACAAGCAGGTGCTGGCTCTCTTCAGGAAACCCTGCTCTTCCTTGGGGGCTCTGAGATGGGATCCTGCAGCTTCTTGCCTACCGGTTTGCCCTTCCTGGGCAAGATCTTCATCTGGCCCTACTGCGTTTTGCTGGGTTGGAACTGGACGAGCTGGAAGGTCCCTTCCATTCCAAAGCGTTCCACGGTTCTAGAATTTCTCCTCTGGCATGTAAGGAGGATTTCAAGGAGGGTTTCCCCAGTGTTTGGGGGATTCCCAGCAGCTCAGCCCAGTCCTGGCCCTGTTACGTGGAACTGATGGAGAAGCACCATTTTTCAGCCCCTTTTCTGCTCTATCCTCAGTGGAGCCCTGGGTTTGGGTTAACTCCACCTCCCTCTCAATGCAGTGACCCAGCTTCCCCTGGGGCCGCGCTCCCTAAGCTCACAGGAGCTCATGTGCGCCGGCAGCAGAGGCCCCAGCAGTGAGCATGGTGGAGTTGGACTCCCTGGTGCCACCATTGCTCCGGCCCCATGCACCCATAGCAGAGCCTTGTTCCCCTCATTGCTATGGCTGGGTCCCCGGCTCAGCGCCTGCTGCCAGCAGCGGCCGTGTCACAGTGGGCAGTTGGCGGCCATGTCACAGTGGGTAGTAGCAGCCATGTCACAGTGGGTAGTAGCAGCCATGTCACTGCTGTCACCGCGGGGCTGTGACACAGGTGCCCTGGTGTAGCGCTGGGCTGCTTCCAGAGGTGGGGAGCACCGGGAGAACCTGGGTGCTGCTGAGCAGGAGTGGGAGAGAGACAACAACGACCTGTGGTGTGTCGCTGCGCTGGGGAAGGGCTTTAACGAAGGCGAGAGAGGAGCGTCTGTGCTGCCAGCGCCCGTGTCAGTGCCCCTCACAGCCAGCACTACCATGGAGGCGGCAGAGGTGAAGAAGTCGCTCGGTGTGCTCGTGGAGCAGCTGGAGCAGAGTTGTGCAGAGTCCAGGAGGTGGAAGGAGCGGCTGCAGTGCTGGGTGGGTGTGGAGGGCGCCTGCACAGCCTCAGCCTGGCTGAGGTGGGGAGGGAGCTCTGGGCATCGGCTGCTCTGGTCCCGTGTCCCTGCTGAAGCAGCGTCACCCAGAGCCGGTTGCTCAGAGCCATGTGCTGACAGGGACAGGGAAGGGCTTGCAGCCTATGGTGGGTGTGGAGGGGCTGCCGGTCCACACAGGGACGGGGAAGGGGGTGTCAGTGCTGGCCCGAGTACGCCAGCAGCCACGGGCAGCGGCATGAGCGGGCAGGACATGAGGGAAGATCATGACGGGAGAGCAAGGGCAGCCATGGGGTGTGGGGAGCGTTCCTGAGGGGTAATCATGAGGGGAGATGAGAGGTGGCCATGAGGGGTAGCGGTGGCAGCTATAGGGCGTGTGCCACTATGGGTGGGAGACGAGGGGTGGCTGTGAGTGGAGATGGTGAGGGGCAGCCATGAGGGGAGATCTTGAGGGAAGATCAGTTTGCGCTTAGTTTAGTGGTGGGCTTGTCAGTGCAGGGTAATGGTTGGACTGGATGCTACAGTTCTGTACCAGCGCAGTTGATTCTGTGATTCTGTGACATTTACTTTACGGTCTGTTGCCTGCAATGGAGGGAATGGGCCGTGCCCCTCCTGGAGACACTCTTGTTCCCTCTCCTCTCCTGCAGGCAGCAGAGGCCGACGGAGCAGCCTTCAGACTGGCCATGCAGAGATACTCAGAGCAGGCCGGCAGCAAGGAGCTGCTGCAGGACATGGTAGGTGTGGAGGGGCTCCTGGTCCATGGGCTCTGGGGCTGCAGAGCCTGAGCCCGTGCTCTCCTTTCCCCACGCAGGACGGGACTCATGAGGATCTCTCTGATGCTGTGCAGGAGGTCCGCAGCCAGGTTGGTGTCCTCTCCCCTAGCCATGTCCTAGAGCTGTGCCGGCTGGGGCTGAGCGGTGTGCCGGGTCCTCGGGGGTAGTCTTGTCCAGCGCCCCCCCCTGCTGAAGGAGGGTTCTCTGGCACGTGTTGCCCACTGGCTGCGGGCAAAAGGGTGACTGGGGAGGAGGACACATTGCCCAGGAGATGAGGCATCCATCACTTAATTCCCTGTGCGTGGCCTGGAGTCACCCGCGCTTCTCAGTGCCCTGTGGCGGTGGGGTAGTGAATGAGGGCTGGAGGGGGCTGAGAGTGCCCGACGCTGCCCTTGTTTTGCAGGAGGAAAAACACCTTGCCTGCATGGGGGCCTGGCTGCGGGAGGAGCAGCAGAAGGACAAGGTAGTGCCAGAAGGGCCAGGGCAAAACAGGCCCTTGGGGAGTGTGAGGTTGGAGGAGGCCCCAGCAGGTTCAGAGACTCCAAGCCTTGTTTCTCCCAGATTCTGGATCAGCAAATTGAGAAGCTGGAAGAGGCCGTGGCGCAGAAAGAGGAGAGGGACTTGCTGGCCAGGAGACGTGGTTTCTGCTACTGGCTGCAGTGAGTTTCCCCTCGGGGTGCCCTGTACCCCGCTCCAGGCAGTGGCAGGGATGTGCTGTACGCCTGCTCCATCTGGCCAGGCTCAAGTTCAGGCTGATGCTGTGTGCTGCTGCCCGGCTCTGGGCTCTAGCTGAGCATTGGCCAGGGTCAGTTTTCCTTGAGCCTGGGTGTTTCCTGGGATTGAGGAGTCTCAGGTCTCACTCTGCTTAAGGGTGCGATGAGAAATGGCTGGGGGCAGCCCATGGCCCCCTCAAGTCCAGAGGAGACCTAGGGTTGGCATCATCCACCCTGCCCTGTCTCCCATGGCTCTTCTTCTTCACAGGATGCTCTCCCTGCTCTTGGTCAGCCTGGAGCTGGCCGTTGGCATCTGTGTGGCTGCTGCACTTGTCTGCACCTTGCGCCTTGACCTTGAGTTCTTCTGCTGCGTGCTCTCGTGTGGACTTCCTGAGCAGATCTACAGCAACCTCGTGTATGCACTGGGATGGATTTTCCCTGCGGTCACTGAGGGGCTGCTGCCCTGTTGACATCCCTTTCCCCCCCGCCAATAAAGCCCAGGGACTGTGACATGCAAACCAGCTCCTCTCAGCTTGGGGGTGCTATGAACAGGGTGGTCTGCAGCGGCTGCTGTGTTCTGGTCTCACCTCAGGACTCCAAACACCCGTGGGGCAGGCGCTGTCCCCAACGTGTCCCTGGATGGGGGCCTGGAGCTTGTGCCCCTGCACACCGGTGCACGTGGTAGAGGGGCCATTGTAGTCCTCTTTGGGCACCTTTGGGCTTCAGCGTTACTCATTGGGAGGGTGTAGGAAACAGCTACCATTGGGCTCCACCGAACTGAGCGTAGGCAGCTGTGATGTCCCAAGAGGCCTCAAAGACACCAACCGTTGAGTCGCTGTCTCGTGCGACGAGGCAGCACAAGGTGGCTGTGGGAGAGCAGCCGCTGGCCTTGGAGCACTCTGGGCAGGGCAGTGGGCCTGCAGGGACACTCAGAACATCAACCCCGTCTCCAGGTCCTCTGCGGCCAGCGGCTGGCCGGGCTATGAATGGCCAGGGTGGCCAGCAGCCACACTGTCCAACACATCAGGTCCAGCAGCTGCAGCACAAGCAGGTGCTGGCTCTCTTCAGGAAACCCTGCTCTTCCTTGGGGGCTCTGAGATGGGATCCTGCAGCTTCTTGCCTACCGGTTTGCCCTTCCTGGGCAAGATCTTCATCTGGCCCTACTGCGTTTTGCTGGGTTGGAACTGGACGAGCTGGAAGGTCCCTTCCATTCCAAAGCGTTCCACGGTTCTAGAATTTCTCCTCTGGCATGTAAGGAGGATTTCAAGGAGGGTTTCCCCAGTGTTTGGGGGATTCCCAGCAGCTCAGCCCAGTCCTGGCCCTGTTATGTGGAACTGATGGAGAAGCACCATTTTTCAGCCCCTTTTCTGCTCTATCCTCAGTGGAGCCCTGGGTTTGGGTTAACTCCACCTCCCTCTCAATGCAGTGACCCAGCTTCCCCTGGGGCCGCGCTCCCTAAGCTCACAGGAGCTCATGTGCGCCGGCAGCAGAGGCCCCAGCAGTGAGCATGGTGGAGTTGGACTCCCTGGTGCCACCATTGCTCCGGCCCCATGCACCCATAGCAGAGCCTTGTTCCCCTCATTGCTATGGCTGGGTCCCCGGCTCAGCGCCTGCTGCCAGCAGCGGCCGTGTCACAGTGGGCAGTTGGCGGCCATGTCACAGTGGGTAGTAGCAGCCATGTCACAGTGGGTAGTAGCAGCCATGTCACTGCTGTCACCGCGGGGCTGTGACACAGGTGCCCTGGTGTAGCGCTGGGCTGCTTCCAGAGGTGGGGAGCACCGGGAGAACCTGGGTGCTGCTGAGCAGGAGTGGGAGAGAGACAACAACGACCTGTGGTGTGTCGCTGCGCTGGGGAAGGGCTTTAACGAAGGCGAGAGAGGAGCGTCTGTGCTGCCAGCGCCCGTGTCAGTGCCCCTCACAGCCAGCACTACCATGGAGGCGGCAGAGGTGAAGAAGTCGCTCGGTGTGCTCGTGGAGCAGCTGGAGCAGAGTTGTGCAGAGTCCAGGAGGTGGAAGGAGCGGCTGCAGTGCTGGGTGGGTGTGGAGGGCGCCTGCACAGCCTCAGCCTGGCTGAGGCGGGGAGGGAGCTCTGGGCATCGGCTGCTCTGGTCCCGTGTCCCTGCTGAAGCAGCGTCACCCAGAGCCGGTTGCTCAGAGCCATGTGCTGACAGGGACAGGGAAGGGCTTGCAGCCTATGGTGGGTGTGGAGGGGCTGCCGGTCCACACAGGGACGGGGAAGGGGGTGTCAGTGCTGGCCCGAGTACGCCAGCAGCCACGGGCAGCGGCATGAGCGGGCAGGACATGAGGGAAGATCATGACGGGAGAGCAAGGGCAGCCATGGGGTGTGGGGAGCGTTCCTGAGGGGTAATCATGAGGGGAGGTGAGAGGTGGCCATGAGGGGTAGCGGTGGCAGCTATAGGGCGTGTGCCACTATGGGTGGGAGACGAGGGGTGGCTGTGAGTGGAGATGGTGAGGGGCAGCCATGAGGGGAGATCTTGAGGGAAGATCAGTTTGCGCTTAGTTTAGTGGTGGGCTTGTCAGTGCAGGGTAATGGTTGGACTGGATGCTACAGTTCTGTACCAGCGCAGTTGATTCTGTGATTCTGTGACATTTACTTTACGGTCTGTTGCCTGCAATGGAGGGAATGGGCCGTGCCCCTCCTGGAGACACTCTTGTTCCCTCTCCTCTCCTGCAGGCAGCAGAGGCCGACGGAGCAGCCTTCAGACTGGCCATGCAGAGATACTCAGAGCAGGCCGGCAGCAAGGAGCTGCTGCAGGACATGGTAGGTGTGGAGGGGCTCCTGGTCCATGGGCTCTGGGGCTGCAGAGCCTGAGCCCGTGCTCTCCTTTCCCCACGCAGGACGGGACTCATGAGGATCTCTCTGATGCTGTGCAGGAGGTCCGCAGCCAGGTTGGTGTCCTCTCCCCTAGCCATGTCCTAGAGCTGTGCCGGCTGGGGCTGAGCGGTGTGCCGGGTCCTCGGGGGTAGTCTTGTCCAGCGCCCCCCCCTGCTGAAGGAGGGTTCTCTGGCACGTGTTGCCCACTGGCTGCGGGCAAAAGGGTGACTGGGGAGGAGGACACATTGCCCAGGAGATGAGGCATCCATCACTTAATTCCCTGTGCGTGGCCTGGAGTCACCCGCGCTTCTCAGTGCCCTGTGGCGGTGGGGTAGTGAATGAGGGCTGGAGGGGGCTGAGAGTGCCCGACGCTGCCCTTGTTTTGCAGGAGGAAAAACACCTTGCCTGCATGGGGGCCTGGCTGCGGGAGGAGCAGCAGAAGGACAAGGTAGTGCCAGAAGGGCCAGGGCAAAAGAGGCCCTTGGGGAGTGTGAGGTTGGAGGAGGCCCCAGCAGGTTCAGAGACTCCAAGCCTTGTTTCTCCCAGATTCTGGATCAGCAAATTGAGAAGCTGGAAGAGGCCGTGGCGCAGAAAGAGGAGAGGGACTTGCTGGCCAGGAGACGTGGTTTCTGCTACTGGCTGCAGTGAGTTTCCCCTCGGGGTGCCCTGTACCCCGCTCCAGGCAGTGGCAGGGATGTGCTGTACGCCTGCTCCATCTGGCCAGGCTCAAGTTCAGGCTGATGCTGTGTGCTGCTGCCCGGCTCTGGGCTCTAGCTGAGCATTGGCCAGGGTCAGTTTTCCTTGAGCCTGGGTGTTTCCTGGGATTGAGGAGTCTCAGGTCTCACTCTGCTTAAGGGTGCGATGAGAAATGGCTGGGGGCAGCCCATGGCCCCCTCAAGTCCAGAGGAGACCTAGGGTTGGCATCATCCACCCTGCCCTGTCTCCCATGGCTCTTCTTCTTCACAGGATGCTCTCCCTGCTCTTGGTCAGCCTGGAGCTGGCCGTTGGCATCTGTGTGGCTGCTGCACTTGTCTGCACCTTGCGCCTTGACCTTGAGTTCTTCTGCTGCGTGCTCTCGTGTGGACTTCCTGAGCAGATCTACAGCAACCTCGTGTATGCACTGGGATGGATTTTCCCTGCGGTCACTGAGGGGCTGCTGCCCTGTTGACATCCCTTTCCCCCCCGCCAATAAAGCCCAGGGACTGTGACATGCAAACCAGCTCCTCTCAGCTTGGGGGTGCTATGAACAGGGTGGTCTGCAGCGGCTGCTGTGTTCTGGTCTCACCTCAGGACTCCAAACACCCGTGGGGCAGGCGCTGTCCCCAACGTGTCCCTGGATGGGGGCCTGGAGCTTGTGCCCCTGCACACCGGTGCACGTGGTAGAGGGGCCATTGTAGTCCTCTTTGGGCACCTTTGGGCTTCAGCGTTACTCATTGGGAGGGTGTAGGAAACAGCTACCATTGGGCTCCACCGAACTGAGCGTAGGCAGCTGTGATGTCCCAAGAGGCCTCAAAGACACCAACCATTGAGTCGCTGTCTCGTGCGACGAGGCAGCACAAGGTGGCTGTGGGAGAGCAGCCGCTGGCCTTGGAGCACTCTGGGCAGGGCAGTGGGCCTGCAGGGACACTCAGAACATCAACCCCGTCTCCAGGTCCTCTGCGGCCAGCGGCTGGCCGGGCTATGAATGGCCAGGGTGGCCAGCAGCCACACTGTCCAACACATCAGGTCCAGCAGCTGCAGCACAAGCAGGTGCTGGCTCTCTTCAGGAAACCCTGCTCTTCCTTGGGGGCTCTGAGATGGGATCCTGCAGCTTCTTGCCTACCGGTTTGCCCTTCCTGGGCAAGATCTTCATCTGGCCCTACTGCGTTTTGCTGGGTTGGAACTGGACGAGCTGGAAGGTCCCTTCCATTCCAAAGCGTTCCACGGTTCTAGAATTTCTCCTCTGGCATGTAAGGAGGATTTCAAGGAGGGTTTCCCCAGTGTTTGGGGGATTCCCAGCAGCTCAGCCCAGTCCTGGCCCTGTTACGTGGAACTGATGGAGAAGCACCATTTTTCAGCCCCTTTTCTGCTCTATCCTCAGTGGAGCCCTGGGTTTGGGTTAACTCCACCTCCCTCTCAATGCAGTGACCCAGCTTCCCCTGGGGCCGCGCTCCCTAAGCTCACAGGAGCTCATGTGCGCCGGCAGCAGAGGCCCCAGCAGTGAGCATGGTGGAGTTGGACTCCCTGGTGCCACCATTGCTCCGGCCCCATGCACCCATAGCAGAGCCTTGTTCCCCTCATTGCTATGGCTGGGTCCCCGGCTCAGCGCCTGCTGCCAGCAGCGGCCGTGTCACAGTGGGCAGTTGGCGGCCATGTCACAGTGGGTAGTAGCAGCCATGTCACAGTGGGTAGTAGCAGCCATGTCACTGCTGTCACCGCGGGGCTGTGACACAGGTGCCCTGGTGTAGCGCTGGGCTGCTTCCAGAGGTGGGGAGCACCGGGAGAACCTGGGTGCTGCTGAGCAGGAGTGGGAGAGAGACAACAACGACCTGTGGTGTGTCGCTGCGCTGGGGAAGGGCTTTAACGAAGGCGAGAGAGGAGCGTCTGTGCTGCCAGCGCCCGTGTCAGTGCCCCTCACAGCCAGCACTACCATGG